TAAACTAGGATTGGGCCACGTAACGTACTACCACATCCATTCCTTGTATTTTTTCTGCACAAAACCCAGGAACCAGTCTAAACTAGTAGTATTATTTATGCGATGCACCCCCCCTCCCCCCCCCAGTTTGTGAATAGCAACAACGGGGAGACCTTTCAGAACGCGATTTGACCGATTATCTCTCTCTTCGTTTTCGCAGCGGTCGGTGAGCGAACTTCCGACGAAGATCTCTCCCGGCGACCACCACTCGAGGGCGCTCTCCTCGCTCAACGACCGTCGCCGCGACGACCACCACTCGAGGGCGCTCTCCTCGCTCAACGATTGTCGCCGTGACGACCACCACTCGAGGGCGCTCTCATCGCTCAACGACCGCCGCGACAACGCCGCGTCGCCGTCGCACGCTCGCGACGGCATCGACCCCGCGACCTATGACCTCGTGTACGTCGCGGCGCAGCTCGGCTCCTACCTGCGCCCTGTGAAGCTCTCCTGCCAGCTCATGTGCGGCATCTTCCTCGCCACGTCGATCCCCGCGCTGACCTACGACTCCGCCGCCCGCGACCTCGGGGAGGTCGTCTCCGGGGTTACGTCGTACGAGTTCGCCGCGATGGCCGGCGGGATGGTCTCTCTGACCGCGTTAGCGACTCTGGTCGCTGCCCGCGTCGTCGTCCGCGTTTACTACTGCGAGGCGGAGAACGAATTCAAGTTCGTGACGAACGCGTGGCATCCCGGCATGCGGCACACGCGCGTCCGCGCCGGCGGGATGGAGCCAGCGTCACGGTACGCCATCACGGGGATCCTGTTCGGAAACTACCGCGTGAACCGCCAGTCGTTCTACATTGTTCCTGAAAACTTCCGCTTTCCGATCTACTACAATCGTCTGCTCGGAATACAGTGATTGTTCGCCGTTCGGTCGTGAACATACGCTACTGACTGCTCGGAATACAGTGAATCGCTCTTCGTTCGGTCGTGAACTTACGCTATCCGATATAATACAACCCGTTGCTAGGGGAACAAGTGAATCGTTCTCCATTTTCGTGCTCTTACGCACCTGTCTTAGATTGATCGAGAACTTACACGTTTTCCGATGGCGGGGAACGACGAAGACAACCCTTTCTCCTTCAAGAAATTCGTCAGCAGCAAGGAGAACCCGGACGGCGAGGAGGACCGTGGCGGCAACGCCGCGGCCGACGCCGCATCCTCCTCCGATCGTAACGACGAGGGGAGACCGCCTCCTCCCCCGGGCGCCT